CTGCTCTGGGATTATTTATTGCTTGCATCTTCTTGGGTGTGGTTAACTTCTTCAGCGTTAAGTTTTCCTTCTAGTGCCTTCTGTAGAGTTGGATTGGTAGATAGAAATTGCTTAAATTTGGTTTTATCTTAGAATGTTTTTAATTTCTTAGTCAATGTGGTTGATAGTTTTTCTGGGTGTGATAGTCTGGACTGGCATCAGTGACCTCTTAGAGTTTGTGGGACATCCATCTAGGCCCTTCCAGCTTTCATAATCTCCATTGAGAAGTCAGGTGTTATTCTAATGGGCCTGCCTTTATATGTGACTTGTCTTTTTTTCCTTGAAGTTTTTAATATTCTTTCTTTGTTCTGCATATTTATTGTTTTGGTTATTTTTTGTTTGTTTGTTTGTTTGATTTTCGAGACAGGGTTTCTCCGGAGCTTTTGGTTCCTGTCCTGGAACTAGCTCTTGTAGACCAGGCTGGCCTCGAACTCACAGAGATCCGCCTGCCTCTGCCTCCCGAGTGCTGGGATTAAAGGCGTGCGCCACCACCGCCGGCTGTTTTGGTTATTTTATGTCAGGGGGAATTTCTGAAGTTAAGACATTTGAAGTATTTCTTGGTGTAGGCATCTGGTCTCGTCTTTGTTGGGTGGGTCTTCTGTTCTTTGGTTCCTGTTGCCTGCTTTGGATCCTAAGCAATTGTAATGGCTATGGGGTCCCAATAGTACATCTGCAGATCAGTCCATATCACAAAGCAATGGAGTTTCCCCTGAAGGAAAGACTTAGAGGGGTGGGCATTGGGAAGGAGCTGGGGGGGGGCACCAAGATGAGGAATCTCCGGGGAGTGGAGGCAAGGTGTGAGGAGGGGCTCCTGTGGACTAAGAGCAAGTCTGGAGAGACTGGAATGGAGGAGCTACCTAAGTCCCAGCCCACTGTGGACACTGGGTTCTCTGGTAGGAAGTGTTCCTTGCAGGTGAGCAGGGGACACAAAGCAATAGAGATGGGCTAGAATGGAAGGGAAAGAGGGACAGTGGGAAGCATCTAGGGGACCCTGGGTCTGCACCAATGGGTAGAACATTCTCAGGAAAACCATATTTTAATCTTTTAAAATATCAAATAAATCAACCAAAAATACATGGAAGGCCTAAGATCAGAGTAGAGAAAAGAGGATCAACCAATATAGCTATGACCCCTCCCTTCTTCTCATTGTTACCATTCTGACAATTATGTATTGCATTCTTCTGGAATTAAATATTTGTTGGCAACAAAATAAATAAAAAATAATTAATTAATTAAAATTTTTAAAGTGTCTCCTCTCTCGGACTTACACTCCCAGACTCCACCCCCTTTCTGCTAGTATCAGTGGAGGAAGTGGGGGAGGGGTGGTAGCAAACTGGAGCATGACAGGCCTGAGGGTCCCCTGGACACAAGGCTGCCATGCTACCTCCCTGATAATGAAGACGACAATCACCATGGTGATGATGAAAATGACCCTGGTGCTTCAGGAGATAGCTCTGTGCCAACATTATGTGCTTGTTTTTCATCCTGTTGATCCTAAAAGGGTTTGAATGAATACGGGGAAAATACCACTTTCAGATGTACTGAAAAGAAAACGAAAGCCAGCCAGGGAGGGAAGCGCGGTAGGCTGTAAGCAGAGACTGCTTGTTCGTTTCCTGGCTGCTCAGACCCGGATGATCACACAGAAACTCTATTAATTACAACACTGCTTGGCAAATAGCTCAAGCATATTCCTGGATAACTCTTATGTCTTAAATTAACCCATTTCTATTATTCTGTGTGTCACCACGAGGCTGCGGCCAACTGGTAAGATTCCGAGTCCTTCTCCTCTCGCACCTACCAGGCATCTCTTTGACTCTGCCTACTCTCTATCTCTGTTCAGATTTCCCGCCTGGCTCTATACTGCCCTGCCATATGCCGGAGCAGCTTCATAATCACAGCATACAGGGGGGAAAATCCCATGTCAATGCGCAGGCGCACTGCCTAGAGGAGCGGTTTGGAGCTCCCCTGACATTTGCAGGGTCTTAGTCGGTGTGAATGGAATCCTTGTTCCTGGGACGTCCACCCTGAAGTCTCGAAGGAGAGAGAACCGTGTCTGCAGTGGCGCCAGTGAGACGGTGCTACTGGGACGTGGGGGTGCTTTGAGGAGGCCAGAAGCAGTGCGAGAGCATTTTGGAAGAAGCGATCCCGGGGAAGTCAGAAGAAACCTTTGCCCTTGTCAAGGGTGTCTGTCATTTAAAAGCATTCTTAGCAGCCTCCCTCGCATCCCGGTCAGTCATTGCTCATTCTGTACCTCCGACCATTCCAGAGAGGGACGCTCTGTCAGAAGCATCAGAAGAAGCTGCAGAGGGGTTGGCAGCTCAAAACTGCCAGGTTACAACAGAGGAACCCGAGAATGAATGGGCTTCACATTCTGAAGCCTGGTGTTGCGTTTTTTGAGAGCACATCCAGCCAATAGTCCCATGAGGCAGGAAATGAGGTGCCCTGCTTGACCTGGCAGCTGCTCTCCTACTTGTTACTGCTGATATTTGAAAAGTCAAAGCAAGTCTGAATCTTAGTGTTCTGCTGGTTGACGGAGCATTCATTGATCAAGTACTGTCTGAATTGGTGTTAGGACACAGTGGCAGCATCTGGGATTGCTTTTCAGAGAATTCTATCCTTCTGCATTGCTTTTGTGTTGACAACTGAACATGGGCAGTCTAGTACCAGCTGTGGCGTGCTCACCCTATGCGCCATTTCCAAGTAGATTCAACAATTATATTACTTGTTTTCACGCCTTAAAGGCACTTGAAAAATATCTATATCTCTTAGAGGTTTTGAAGCTAGGTGGCTCTTTGAAAAACTCTTCATTCGAATGTCATACCATGATCTTTAAGGCAGGAAGTTGCATGAACCCTATGGAGAAATTTGACTATAAGAGTCATATTTTATACAACATTTTTCAAGTAAAATTTTTATGTAAATTTTTAAATAAAATTTATAAAAATTTTAAGAAACTCTCTAAAAAAGAGAGCGTTAGGCTCAGGGTTAGAATCATGCTGTTAGTCAGAGTGACTTCATCATCAAGATTAGTGTGACTATAATGTCTGTGTCCAATGCAGGGACACTCTGAGGGCAAGGTGTCTGCCATGGGCAGAGTGAAAGCCAGCTTATCAGAGCTGAAGGTCTGGTTCAAGTTTGTCATCAGCCTTGGTGAGGGCTCACTCCAGGGCATAGATAAGAAGGGCTGTAGCTTCGTCTCACCTCCCGCCTTCCCTCCAGAACGGAGTAAGAGCGTCTCTCACAGAGTCTCATCCTTGCAAAAAGTTGCCTGATTTTTCTTCAGTAATGGATTTGAGGTACACAATGATTCAGTAATTTTATTTTTATTTATTTTATTGTTTTGGACTATTAGAGATTCTCCACCTCTAAATATGACACTCAGAGTAGTCTAGATTTTCTTCTAGATAGACACGGATCAAGACATAAGAACATGGTCACCACTGAAAGGACCTCTTCAGTTCCACAGGGAGGAGCGACTGGTGTTTAGTCGTTCACCTTATTAGACAGACTAATTCTTTATAGTCTTCCCTGGTCTGAACGCTTGAGGACAGGTTACCTTCCTGAATTACGGAAAGACTGTCTTCATGCATTTAGGTCAACTGACTTCTGACTAGTCTTTGCAGGTACATTGAGCACAGTAACAGCGTGAATAAAATAACTTCCTTATCTAGTTCCTCAGTGACTCCTGCACCCACTTGCACTCTACTCCAGGTCCTGACCCAGGTGTCAAGCTGTTTTCTGTCCTCTGAGCAAAGGCACCAGATTCCCATTGACAGCCTGAGACTTGCCAAGGGGTCCAGGGAAAAGTCTCCAGCCACCATGAGAACCAGCTATTCTCAGAGGGGCATGCATTCTGCTTCCGTGTAAGCTGCCACTCCCAGTAAGTAGGGGGTGCCCTCCAAGTAGGAAGGTTGGAAGGATGCTGGGACACTCTTACTCTGAGCCAGTTCTAACCCCGCCTCCACCCTCTCAGAAATTGAGCTTCACAGATGCCTCTTTTTGCCACTGGAAAGAAACCGCGACAAATGACACGAACACACTCTTCCTCACCCTGCTGCTGCCCCGTTTCTTCCTGTCTGTGTTGTCAGGCTTTCACGGAAGAATGAACTGTGGTATTAAATTTTTGTCTCATTTCCCCTCCTAACCTGGCTCTGTATCCACCCAAACTTTCTAAAGTAAAAAGTCTGGAGCTCAAAGAAAAAGAAACCCTTAGTCCGTGAGTGACAGGAGACAGCTAAAGCAGTTGGAAAGCTGACTACTTCTGTTTCTGGGACCTGGGATCTAATACTGGGTGATGACTGAGCCCAAGGTAAGGATTTCCCACCTGATGGTTCCCAACATCCTATCCGCTGCAAGTGAGCACGTGACCATGCTACTCCTCTGAGTGTTTGTGGGGGTGCTTTGTAATAGAAGATCCTAGTACATTGTCACGCTGGAGCTAAGGGAGATAGAAATGTAAGGTAGAAGACCTGGCAAAAGATGAGCCAGGCCGTGCAGTGGTGGCGCACGCCTTTAATCCCAGCACTCGGGAGGCAGAGGCAGGTGGATCTCTGGGAGTTCGAGGACAGCCTGGTCTACAAGAGCTAGTTCCGGGACAGGCACCAAAGCTACGGAGAAACCGTGTCTCGAAAAACCAAAAAAAAAAAAAAAAAAAAAAAAAAAAAAAAAAAGATGAGCCAGAGGCTCGGCTAGACAAACAACTCTGGAAGTGCAATTTATAGAAGACTTGTATCTGCTTTTCTTTTTTCTATTACCTTCCTCACCCAGAACTTTCTCTTGGTCCCTGACTGGCTGAACACACACCAAGATCCTCTTCTAGCATTATCTAGTGTTTTCTTAAAGCTACCAACCTCTACTGGACTGAAGTAAAACTCTAAAGTGATTTTTTTTTAAAGTGCATAATTAAGAAAAAGTGACCAAATGCACCCACATCCAGGAGAGATGGGAAAAAGAGCCAGGAGTCAGCAAATTCGTATTGGTCTTTATTGAGATGTCAAGGTCCAGCAACGCCATGAGAGAATAGTCTGGAGACACAATCCAGAGCCAAGACTTCCGGGTTCTTAGACATGATACCCTCAACCTTTCGGCTATGAGGAGGGCAGTTCTCTGTTTGAGGGCTCTCTGGTCTTCAGAATGGTCCTATATTTGGTCAGAAACTGACTGCCCAAAGTGCTCAGCTCTTGCTGGAGTTCTTGCAGTGCCTTGTCTTTTTCCTGCTGCCCCCCAAGCACGTGGTTCTTGTAATAGTTGATGTACAAGTTCACCCAGTCATCCACCACAGTCACCATGCTCTCTTCGGGAATGAGAGGGTCATTAAAGACCTGGGGGCAGGGAGAGAGGGGAGAGATTGGCCAAGGAGAATGTGGTCAGTGAGACGGAGTGCCAGGACGGCCTTATAAATGCCCACAATCTCTTTTCTTGGATTTGCATTCTGCTTCTAGACATTTGGACCAATGCCACCATTGCCCTTACAGTTTCAAATGAACCTCCTCGCCTCCCCTCCCCCCGCCAACACACACTCTCTCCATCTGTCTTTTCAAACAGTGCCAGGGCTCACCTGCTGATTCAGCAGAACGTTAAACTCCTTTATCCCTGTAGAAATCAGTTCCTTATTGGTCTGGAAAGGGGCCATCTGTCAGTTAAAGAAAGGAGGTAAAATGTATTCTTTTCCCTCACACCGGGGTATCCTCCCCAGCTCTCCCCCACCCCAAACATCCCTCATGGCTGAGAGGGACACCTCCTTTCTAAACCTTTCAAGCCCTGCTCTGTGTGGAAGTCGCATTTCTCCCAATATAGGCTCACCTTCAAGTCCAAAGGTGCCGAACTTGCCTCAGTCACACTCTTCGGGGTTGGTGTGTCCTCTGCACTGAGCGGGAGGTAAGCAGAGTCCAGAGCTAGCTTAAGACGGAAACGCCCTGCTTTGAGGTCCTGAAGGAGCGTGATAGGTCGTCCTGGGGTGGAGATGGTGGGTGGTGAGGCTTCCCTGGAACTAGAAAGATAGAGAGACCATAAAAAAAATAGATAAATGAAGACAGAAAATGCAAGAAACAAACCAGGAACACATATATGCTTGTCCTTTTCCCTATAATCCCAAGCCAGTCTCTGACTTCTAAGGAAATTAACATTTTCTGGACCCCATTACGTAATGGGCATTTTTGCATTATACACAGTGTAATGGCATTGGTTTCTCTATCTACAGCATCCATATTCAGAGCAGTTTAGAAGCCAGACTACAATCCCACATTCAGGAGGCATGGAAAGAAGAATCAAGTCAAAGGCCAGTCCCAATTCATATCCAAACAAAACTTTGTTCTCGAAAAAAGACGTTTATGCCACATTCTTTGCCATTTTATGTATTCTTTTATGCCAGACACTTCTTCAATCATATATTAAATATTTATCATTATAAAAAAATCCCTTCAGAAAATATAGGATATATTGGGGCTTTTTCAACTACAAAGAAAAATGAAATTATGTCTTTGCCTCAGGGGAGCAAAAGAATCTTTGAATACTTGCCACTACCTCCAAATAATTCATAACATCTAAATAGTTATGTACTGGGCTGGCAAGATGGCTCCTCGGTACTTGCTGTCAAGCCTGATGACCTGAGTTCAATCCCTGGGACCCACATGGTAGAAGGAGAGAAATGATGCCCAGAAGTTATCTTTTGATGTTCATATGCAGGCCATGGTGTATATGCATCTCTCTCTCTCTCTCTCTCTCTCTCTCTCTCTCTCTCTCTCGCACACACACACACACACACACACACACACACACAAATAACTAATTATCTAAATAAATAGGTAAATACAGTATGTACCACTTACCAAATTTGACTTAGACACCTACACATATAATCTGTTTAGCCCTCACCCCTCACCCTCACCTATCTGGTATGTACTAGTGTTGTTTCCACTTTTAAGATGTGGAAATTGAATGCCAAAGAAACAAATAATTTTCCTAAGATCTCACACTTACAACCTTGCATGCCAAGCAAGGCCGTTGAATGAACTCATTTACAGAATGTGGCTTTGGGGTTTGGTTCATTCACAGAAGCTAGAATAAAGAGTATGGTAACTTGACTTCTTCCTTCCTCCTGGGAACTCAATTCTTCACAAAAGTGCTAATGTTTATCTCAACCTTAGACAGACTCTGCGTGGGGTCAGATACGGAGGCATGGGTGGGCAGGGTGGCTTCTAGCCACAGTGCATGATGAAGCCAGCAGTCCTTGAGAATCAGACGTTTCCAGAATGGAGTTGTTATCCAGAGCAGTGGCCATCCAAGAATGCCAGGCTAGCAACAACGACATCTTCTTTTCTGATTTAAAGAGGAAAAAAGAAGATGCTTTTGGCAAATTCCTACTTTAGGGCCAGTTCCCTAAAGTAAGCCAGAAGGAGGAGGACAAAGAGAAGGGGTGAGTTTGGAGAAGGGAAACCCTGTAGCTTAGACTCCCCTCCTGACTCCATGGAGCTCCCCCAGAAGAGAAAGACGTAAGACTTCCCCACACTTATGCTGTGTTCCGACTGTACTCCTGCCCCGCCTCAATGGTCTTACTCCCCGGGTCCTTAGAGGCCTTTTAGAAATAATATTCTAATCTGGGGAAAGGTGAAGGACAGAGAATTTCTTCTCGCAGCGTTAGTGAACCAAGCTGTCTGCTTGCTACTTGACAAAACCAATGACTCGGGGAAAGTACTTGGGCAAAGAAAAAAAACTTGTTTGGAAAGCCAAGGAAACAAAGAGGCTAACTCATGCCAATAAAATCATCTGGTGTGGAAGGGCTTTGTAGAGAGGGAAGCAGAGAAATAAGCAAGAAAGAGCTAACCACTGAGGACATTTTTATTTTTTTTTTATTTATTTATTTTTTTTTGGTTTTTCGAGACAGAGTTTCTCTGTGGTTTTGGAGCCTGTCCTGGAACTAGCTCTTGTAGACCAGGCTGGCCTCGAACTCACAGAGATCCGCCTGCCTCTGCCTCCCGAGTGCTGGGATTAAAGGCGTGCGCCACCACCGCCCGGCCCTGAGGACATTTTTAAAACAAAAACTTGATGCTGGCTGATTTCCTGGTGCCACTTCAGAGGCCTTAGTTGGTTTAGTTACTCTTAATCTTGATGTTTTCAGCCTTGGAAGGGAAGGAAGCAAGTTTAAGTCAAATCAACCTTGGTCTAGATAAAATAGCTCTTAATGACTAATATATCTGCATGCAGATTTGGGCAGAAATGGTCTGGATCAAGATTAAGGTAGCAAAGAATGCAGAGACCTGGTGAAGATGACGTTGTTACTGGATCTTGCTCTGTTTCCCCTCAGTGTCCCAGTCCTTGTGTTTTCTATTAAGTGAATCCAGGTAAGACACACAGAGTGTAGCATAGAAAATAGAACTTTGTGTGTAATAATAAGGGTTGAGGATGGGCAATGGCCAAGGAGTCATAGTAGAGGAAAGTACTCTCACAGAGTGAGCATGGACAGAGTCCAAAGAGACCACTGCAGAGGGCATGCTCTCAAGGGGTAGGAATTGCAGAGGGCATGCTCTCAAGGGGTTAGGAATTGCAGGGGGCACGCTCTCAAGGGGTAGGAATTGCAGAGGGCACGCTCTCAAGGGGTAGGAATTGCGGGGGGCACGCTCTCAAAGGGTAGGAATTGCGGGGGGCATGCTCTTAAGGGGTAGGAATGGACAAGGGTCAGGGGGACTGTATGTATCAGCCTACATGTTTAGGGGGGCTATTACAGGACAGCTGTAAATGACCGAACAGCACTTGGCAGGGTGTGCTGGGGCTCTTTCCTCGGTCCAAGCTCACTTCCATTCTTGGCAGAGCCTTCACTCTTTCTTAACGAGTTATCTACTTCTCTTCCATGCCTAATTTCAAAGGCACAGTTTTCTCCAGTTTCTCCTGGTGGCTGCCAGGATCTCTGCTCATCCTGTTCTATGTTTCCCTCTTAAACTAATAAAACTTTCCTCAAGATTCCTGTTCATTCCACTACTAAATTCTTTTATTAAAAAAGATTTTATTACTGCCTGCCCCCCCCCCCCGTGTGTGTGTGTGTGTGTGTGTGTGTGTGTGTGTGTTTAAGAGCACATCCATGTGCTTGCCTGGGAGGTCAGGAAGAGAGCATCTGAGCCCCTGGAGTTGGATTCACCAGTGGTTTGTGAACTGACATCAGCACAGGGAACCAAATGCTGATATTTCTGGAAGAACTGCAGGCGTTTAACCACTAAGTCATTTCTCAGCCTCTAAATTCTTTTAATTAGGGAGCCGAAGTTCCCATGGGAACTTCAGTTTCCCCAGTAACAAAATAACAACAAATGCTAGCTAGCAAAGAGCCCTTCTGTGCTGCTGGTGAGAATGTAAACTTTTGCAGCCACTGTGAGAAGCCAAGGGGAAAACAACAGAAACCACGGCTTGGTTACCATTCTGCTGATGTAGGTATACAGCTAAGGACGCCATGTCCTACCGCAGACATATTGGTACCTCTGCGTTTACCACGGCAGTACTCACAACAGCCAAGGGATGGAATCGGCCTGGAGCTCTGTCAGTAGACAAATGGGTAACAAAATATGGCATTATGGTGGAATTTTATTCTGCCACAAAGAAAATCATGACATTTGCAGGAAAATGAGTTTAAGACTTTCAGAAAGACAAATACCCCCATGTTTTCTCTCATATGCAATCCCTAGATCAGCACTTTTATATGTGTGTATGGGTGTGGGAGGAGGCATAGGTCATGAAGTTAGAAATGGGACCATGAGGAGGGAAGAAGGGATCTTCAGGAGAGTAGAAAGACGATCGATATCATGTGACATAAAAGCCACAGGCTTGGGGTGGGGTGTGTGTGTGTCTATCTAGTAGGGATCAGGCAAGGGAATGGGGAGGCGGGTGGTGAAGGAGAGACAATAGGAAGAAAGTATGTATAATAATGCTATAATGAAGCTCATTAAGTCTCAAGGCAATTTTAAGTTTTTCAGAAGCTATATTGTCCTGGGCCTCACTGAAAAACAAAAGAAAGAAAAGAAAAAGGGCACTTGGGACCCAGAGAAGGATACTTTTCAAACTTACACAGCTAAAAGTTTGAGATCTGATTGGTGACAACTATTTCCACAGGAAGGCACCTCTCCCTCTCCCGACTGTGGAAGTTCACGCAGTCTGAGTTCAAGATAGTATAGGAAGATGATTGCCCCTCTGCGGCCGCCGTAGCCGAGCAGGAAACGTTATTCGTCCGGCTTTTTGCCGCGTTGGACTTGGACCGGCCGGCTGAGCCTGGGGATGGCTGACTCTGCGAGCTTGCGAATGCAGCTGTGCACGGAACAGTTCGGCTCCCGAGCCCCGCGCGGCTGCCGCGCTGCCGCCGACGGGAGCCTGCAGTGGGACGGGGCTCGGCGCTGGGGCTGGCTCTCCCGGGCCCCGACAGCGAAACCCGGGCAGGAGGCGGGAAGCGGGGCACCCTGGGCAGCGCTGCCCGCGCTTTCGGGCCTCAGAGCCGTGCTGCTGCCTCAGGGCTTCCCCGATAGCGTCAGTCCGGATTACCTGCCCTACCAGCTGTGGGATTCGGTGCAGGTGCGGCAGGCCGACTGCCGTGGCGGGTGGGGTGTCGGCGGTTTATAGCTGGGGATCTGGGGGACAGGCCCCTTCGGTCTGCATTTGCACATGGAAGGCTGGCGTGCACCAGAGTCCTGACAGTTTTCCAGGTCACACACCACCGCTGAGAGCTTCCGTGTTCCTGCGACCACCCCTCACGCCGCTTCTTCTCTCTCCAGGCCTTTGCTTCCAGCCTCTCCGGCTCCCTAGCCACCCAGGCAGTGTTGCAGGGCTTAGGGGTAGGCGATGCAAAAGCCTCTGTTTCAGCTGCCACGTCTACCTGGCTCCTGAAAGGTGAGCCCGAGCCTGGGAGCCTTACGTGTTGGTCTCTCACACACACCCGCTTTCTCTCTGTAGCCTCTGATTCCTCCACTGCAAACCCTAGTACTGCCGTTCCGCAGTGTTCTGACCTCCGACAGTGACTCTGGTGTGTGTTTGTGAGTGGTCTGCTGTTTGATGAGACAGTACACAGAAGCCGCGTGTCCCCATGCCTAGAACAGTATTCTCATTGCGCGTTGAATATGGTCATCAGTGAATGAGCCCAAAAGACACAACTTGTTACCCTTGCAAATTTCAGAATCTGGATCCCTCATCCTTAAATTAACTTTAAACCTACTTTGTGCGGAATTGCGTAAAAATGTAGTTTATTACATAAAGCTGCCAGCTTCTCAGGATGGTGAAAATTAGATACTTGAAGAGGGATGTAGCTGGTCCTAAACTGGTGTGGTTAAAATGTATTCTGACTCCTCTGGGGTAGAAGACAGTGCTGTGGGTGATTATTACGGTAACCACGTGCCGAGAGTGTATAGCTTTTATTTAAAAAAGTCACCAAGAAAAAAAGATAATTTAGCACCATGCCACCTAGAGAGTGAAGCAGAGAAAAGGGAACTCGCCAGCCACGTGTTTCACACTTAGGAGGGCTCACAGTCTTCTTGCCTCTGTCCCTGCTGCTCCCAGTGGTATTTGTAAGGGGAGTTCCCGCTGAGCTTTGCAGCTGGTTTGATGCCTTGATCTGCCTTTTGTGACTACTACCTTTTATGTCCCTTACCTTCTGGTTTGCAGTGTGTAAATCTTACCTGAGTGTTTCCTAAAGATTCAAAGCCCATGCAAAACTTGGTTGCAGGAGGATTCAGAAAACTGAGATGTCCTGTGGCTGGGAATTGCTTTGGCTTTTGTCTCTTTGGGGAGTTTTGGATAAGAGGTTTTGATGTGCTAAAGTGTAAACTTTATAACAATAAAAAAAGCCTACAAAGCTACTGTCAGTTCACGGGAAGTTGAATCCCCTGTGGCCGAAAAGGCAAAAATCATCCTAGAGTGACCCTGTTTCTTCCACGGACCTGCGTGATCCGTGAACCAAACACCCAACACAACAGGTATTTAAATGAAACCTAGGGGCAGGCGCATCCAGTGGCCTGGCCAGGTCTTTGGAGAGCCTCCCTGGACCCATTGGAGATCCGAAGGCTTCTGTGTATGCCTAACTGCTAGAACTGGGCACACTGCTACTAGGGGTCACCTCTTGACAGCATTGTTAGAGCAGAAGTGATCAATGGCGGCTTGTCCTCATTGTCTTTAACAATGGCAGTGCTAATGCTAGGTGCTGGCCGTGTTCTTCTACAGCACTCTTCACATTGGCTGATTAGACATCATAGTAACCGTAGGACGGGTGTTGCTGTTTTCCCCCACTTCATAGCCACAGAATTAGAAGGCTACACATAGGTAAGTTGTAGAGCCTGGATTTGAACACAGGTGAT